AATTGAATAATGAAGCAGAGCTGCCGGAAAGAAGCTTTTAATGACAAGGAATCAAGATGAGTGGCATTCAGCAAGGCTTCTTGGCTAGCTAGAAAGATTGACATTCAAACATGAGTTTACATACCCCTTTTGAGTTTTGGTCTAAAACTGGTTTTTGGTGATGCTTGGTGATGTTTAATCCTGTGTTTATTGATGAGGTAATTTTCCCTATTCAGCTTTGTTTGGAAGGAAAAAAGGTTAATCTCAGTTCCTGAAAAGAAACTGGATTGAGAAATCTGGCTAGTTCCTGTGTCTATTTGTTCTGGTAATTGGTTTAACAAGCAACAGCTACTGTTGTGAATTTTTTTTTCTCGTGATCAAACTGTAATCAGCCTTGAAATAATCACTGTTATGCAAAATTAACATTCATCAATTCTCTTTCTTCCTATATAGATCTATTTAATCAAACCTACTGTCCCCCATCTGATTCACCGGAACTACAAGCATTCAGAATTTCTATCTATGGGCATTCTTGTGTGGGAAATTTGGGAATTGTAGTTCCATCAGGTTACAACCACCATAAACCACAGCCATGAGCCAATTGGAATCAAGCAACATGGCAGTAGTGAGGCTATTTCAGATACCCCGCCCCCCCAGTTGTGTTCAATTATGGGAGACTGCTGAAACAAATCCCTGGAGTTTTCTTGGCAAAGTACTTTGGAAGTGGTTTGCTATTGCCTCTTTCCTAGGATTTCAAAAGGATGACTGGCCCAAGATAACCCAGTGGGCTTTGTTCTACCCTAACCTAAAGATGAAACTAGAACTCGTGGTCTCCCAGTTTCTAGCCTCTAATTTTCACTAAAACAAAACTGCCTTTTCAACGAGAAGAAATCAAAGAAGCAACTGTTGTATTTTGCCTTAAGGGAGGCTGTTAATTAATGGAGTAGCTTAACAGCACCCTACAAACAGAAATAATCTAAAACCTATCTTCTTCTACCACATCTAGTGTACTGGTAAAAAGGAAAATATTGTATAGAAGCTCAATTACTGTACAGAAGAATTGAACAAAAAAAGATCACAGTATCCAAGATATGAGCAAAGATTTGGTTACTGAAGATTTGGTCACTGAACTAGAGCAAATATTCTGAAAGTTAATGTTAAATGGGCCCTAGAAAATATTGCTAACATGAAAACAGCAGGAGTTGATGAAGTTTCAACAGAAATGTTTGAGATGATGCTATTAAAGTGCTACTTGCACATTGGAAGCAACTAAAGAAGATAGCAGGGGCCGAAGGACTGGAAAAGATTAATTTGTATTCCAACCCACATACCTCAAAAGGAGAGGCAATGCTAAAGTTTTGAAACTATTGCATTTATAGGAGTTCTAACTTCAACAATATGATGAAATGAGCTAAACCTATGTTCTAGTCCAGAGTTGCCCCTTTCTGGTTTTGCGGAGGGGGGGGGGGAGCTCGTTCTGCACTAGTGATGGGGAAGCACATACAGCTGTAGTTGCCTGAGTGAGGGGCATGTGCACCTGGCCCACACATAAATGGAATGTGTGCGAACATGTTCATCTGCTTTGTGCAAGAGCGGATGTGTGCATGCACACACTCACCCACCACTTTGGCCCAGTTCTGAACAGTTCATGGTAGTGGGCTGGGGCCTAGGGGTTGGGGATCTCTGTCCTATTCTACTTTCAGTCATGGAAGTTCTCTGTTCAACTTTGGGACATTCACTATTTCTTAACCCAATCTAACCCACAGCACTGTTGAGGAAAAAAAGAACAGGAGGCAATTCATATGGAGTTGATATTCAAGAGGTAGTATATAAATCACAATAAATAGACTTGCTAATGATACCATGTTGAGGAAGAGAGGAAGAACTGAGAAAGCCTTCTTGAAGATAAAAAGAAGAGGGGAAAACTTGGTTTGCTGCTCCACATTTTTTTAAAAAAAAATCAAACTTCACATTACATCAATATGCAATGCCAACTGAGCACAAATAAAGAGGAACTTGAAGTAGTAGCATTTAATCTTCCTGACTAAATCATTCATAGAGATGTGAATTACTATAGCCATGAAATAAGAATATGACTATTTGGGAGAAAGACTGATCAGACAACACATTAACGTGTAGTGACATCACACTAACAAATAGGCTGTGGGCTACCGCTTTTCAAGTTATAACATATGGCTATGAACGTTGGACCATAAAAAATGCTGAATGAAGAAAATTGGTGCCTTTGAATTGTGATGCTGGAGAATACCCTGCACTGTAATGAACAAATTATTTAGTGCTAGATGAGGTAAAACCATACTGCTCATAGAAGCCCTAATAATGAAATTAAAGCTTAGATGTTTTGGACATATAACTCAAAGGCAATAGTCAATGGAGAAAGACCCTGCTTTTTGGAAAAAATCAGAACAATTGAGATAGAAAAGACCAAAGTTGACAAGATGGTTGGCTAATGGTACAAACATAACCTTACAAGAACTCAACAAAATTGCTACTGACAAACAATCCTGGAGAACCAATATCCATCGAGTCATGAATGAACCACACTAAAGAAATCTTTGCAACCAGACTCACGTCCCTCTGCTCAAATTGCTATTATAGTTTCATTTAAAAGTTAAAATCAGCCATATTCCCTGCAGATACATTGAAGATGGTCTTAATGAAGCATTAGTTCAGCACCAAAGATATGCAAAAGTATTATCCTGTTGGAAGATCTGCTTTCCAATATTTTCAGTTATGCCACTAGCTGCATTCCCATCCTCTTGCTAGATGATTAACTATAAACCAGAAAGTAAGCAGAATAGGAATAACTATGAAAAAAAAACTATCTGATCCAACTGAAGATTGAGTACAGATTTGAGCTGAGAAATTGTAACAAGGTTTTAAAATTTAAAAAAATTAACAAAACTTTGCTTTATTAATATGGAACATATACACATTCTTGTCAAGCTTCTCCAAAAATATATCAGGAAATTAAAAAGAAATCAAGCAACGCAAAAGCATAGGGAAAAATGTAAAGTGACTCAGCTGCATAGAATTTTAGAAGAAACAGATGGTCTGAATTCAGACCAGGTCATTATTAATTGCCTAGACAGGTTATTTTTGTTGGGACTGAGGGAGGAAATTTCTCACTTCCTGGTCCGTTTATATGCTGCCAGTAGCTTTTGATAATATTAGTGATGGTATGCTGCTAGGATGCCTGCAAAGTTTGTGGAGACACTGATCTTCAGTGATTCTGCTCCTGAGTAAATGATTCCAGTCTGTTAGGATGAGATAACAATATTTGACACTATATGTATGTAGCTGCTCCACAGTGCTTGCTACTCCTCTTCTATATCAGGGGTGTCAAACTCACATCGCCATCAACATATCTGAGTTAAACCAACCGTGGGCATGGCCAGCGCATGAGCATCCGGCCCATGGGCCAGGATTTTGACAGCCCTGCTCTATATCAACCTGCTAGATGAGGTCTTCTGCTGATCTGAAGGGAGCTATCATTAGGCTGATAATATTCAGCGGTATATTACATTACCTAGTCAAGTTTTAAAAGTTTTAATAGAATAACAGAGTTGGAAGGGACCTTGGGGGTCTTCTAGTCCAACTCCTTATTCAAGCAGGAAAAACCAAACCTTTTCAGACAAATTGTTGTCCAATCTCTTCTTAAAAACCTCCAGATTGGAGCACCCACAACTTCGTTGATTGTTCGGTCAGGAAATTTTATGCAATGAAGTTTGAACAAATGTCTGGAGCTCTGAAGAAGGCAAAATAAACTTTGATTAAACCCATCCAAGGTTGAGTTGCTATATATAATTCAAGTATGTTGAAATATTGATAATCACTCTGAATAGAATTATGTGCATTCCAAATGAACTGGTTCAAGAGCTGGGTATCCTTCTGGACTCATGACTATTGCTCAAACAACAGGCAGAGTCTGTGGCTGCATGGGGTGGGGGGGAGTATGCTTACCTTAACCCCATATGCTAGTTTCAATCCTATCTGGGCCAGGAGGCTTTAAAGATGCCAAGCCATCTTTTTAGCACCATCTGGTTTGATTATTGTAATAGGTGATATTTCATGGAGCAGCCTTTGCATAGTCCAAAAGCTGCAGCTGTTTTGGGATATGGTGATAGGAGTCCTGCTGAGTCAGTTTACAGAACTGCAAAATTGCAGTGCTAACATTGTTGCATTACTTACCTGCAGATTTTTGGGCCCAGTTCAAAGTGCTGGCCATCACCTTTAAATCACTATGCTGTACAAACTAGCACTGCAATACTATGCTGCCTTGTCAGCAATGAATTTGCCCATTAGTAGGGATGAATGATTGTTAAAAAAAATCTCCCCCATTCATCAAAGGTCAGAAATTTCTGATGGGTTCTACACTCTGGAACTCTTTTCCCTAGGTCTGTGCAACCACCTCCCTCATTACATTTCAAAAAACCCTCCCAAACAGCCCACCTGCAAAGCGCCTTTTTAAACCCAAATTGATTCCTATTAACTTCCACTAGGGTCATACAGTCTGTCTTTTGTAGCAATTTATATTTTTAATCTGTTGTGACCCACCCAGAGGCTTGACTATTTATTTTTTAAAACCCATTCCCCAAAATAAAACCCAGATATATGGCAATACTATGGCCACAAAAAGTGGGGAAATAATGGCTTTCCAATAGTATAGACAGTAGAGAGATTCTGCTAAATCAATTTTAATAGAATAAGAGAGTTGGAAGGGAGCTTGAGGGTCTTCTAGTCCAACTCCCTGTTCAAGCAGGACAAACTATACCTTTTCAGACAAATTGTTGTCCAATCTCTTCTTAAAAACCTCCAGTGTTGGAGCACCCGCAACTTTTGGAGGCAAGTCATTCCATTTATTAATTGTTCTGTCAGGAAATTTCTCCTTAGTTCTAAGTTGCTTCTCTCCTTGATTAGTTTCCACCCATTGCTTCTTGTCCTGCCCTCAGGTGCTTTTGAGAATAGTTGACTCCCTCTTCTTCGTGGCAGCTCCTTAGATATTGGAACATTGCTATCATGTCACTCCTGGTCCTTCTTTTGGAATAAGCTAATTTTTTTTCTCATATTCTTCTTTTCGACTGGAAACATATATCCAAATTATATTCAATACTAGTAAGTTCCTCAAACTTAAAAGATGTTTTGAGAAGATTGAGATATCATACTTTGTTTCCTTTTCTATCCAATCTAAGTGGTGAATAACACACAATTATACTACAGCCACATTGACATTTTAAATGTAACAATAAAAATAATTAAAAATAACAATTCTATTTTAACATCTTTAAATGACCTTTTATAAATGCTTAAAGTGGAAGCAAATTTCAATCCACACATTTCCTTAAAATACAGCAAAATAAACCACTTTCACTGGGTAACAGCAATGTATATTTAATAGGACATTAAAATCCTATTCAAGCCTGGGAAATAAATTGTAACTTAGAGCAGCAATGATGTCACATGGCTATGCCTATTCAGTTTCTACGAGACTTTCGATTTCAGAAAGTATCAGCAAAATAATTTTCTGCACTCCTTTTGGTCTGCAGGCACTGTGGTTGCTGACCTACATTTATAAACACAACAAAGTAGAATTCCATTTGCTATTTTTGTTGTTCCGCAACTTATTTGTCCCCTGCCTAGATTTAGATATGCAGCAAACAAAATCATACCCCTATCCATCATCAGTAAAGTCAGGGTTGATTGGTTCCTCTCCCAAACTGAGCCATTTCAATGCAAGTATAATCAGATCTGCTGAAAATTGCCAGCAGAAATGCTTACATTCTATTGCTGCTGTAGTACTTTTTTCTGCGAAAAACAAGATTACTTCAAAATTAGCTGCTAAAAGATATTGTGCATAAAACAATGTTGTCTAGTCTACAAAGTTTTTTTAGTCTAAATATACAGCACCTGTGTGTGTGTGTGTGTGTGTGTTTGGCTTTGTTCTGGACTTCTCTTCCTATTGCTTTCTTGAGCAATGTGGTCTCCCTCCAGTGGCAAAAAATGGTTCTAATTACATTTCAGTCTGGGGATGACAAGTCCAGTACTTCATGCTGTACTTGCCAATCATTTTTACCGATATCTGTTATATATCCATCATACAGAGTTCAGATTTTTTTCTTCTATGCCAGAGCAAATGTCTCTCAAAACAAAGAATCAACATTCTAGCACTTGTTTGCAACAACTGTGACTGAAATTTGATAGACAGATCAGGAGTAATGTTATAGTAAGCAAATAATAAAAATTTAAAAAATGGACAAAAACGCCCCATTCATTACGAAGGGAATGCAGAAATGATGTCAAGACAGAAAACTCATGGTTCAATTTGATCCTTGTCTTCTGAGAGGAATCACTGTGTCTGGTAGTAAATAGCCATATAGCTAATCTAGGCAAGTGAAATCAAATATGGTCAAATATCTTGTGAAGTTTTTGTTGGTTGTTGAAAAACAATTCTTGAAATTGTTGTTGAAAAACAACTGATTTATTCAGAATCCTCACTGAATGGTAATTAAAATAAACTTGAACTTGAAAATAAGGTGGATTTTTAATTTGTTTTGAGATACCATTGTGAAAACAATCTAAAAATCAGAGTGCTCAAGTTCATGAAAAAAAGTTTTTATTGGAAATGGCTGAAGTATAACAGCAACATTGTAGTATCCCTACCTATAAGGGAAAAATAGACCTGATTTTAGCATCTGATTTAATTTTCAGATATTTAAACTATATCTCATTTATTATCAGCACAATAACCATAAATGCTAATTCTTCTCATGCTAATCTTTTAAATTTTATTATCATAAGGATATATACTTGTTGACATTGAGTCACTTTCATAATTGTTTAGCATACTGTTGCTTTAGTCAAACTTCTGAATGCAAGACACAATGAGGCATAGTGTTGTAACACCAATAACATTCTACCTGTGTAGAGACAGAGTTGAAAAATTATACTGATATAATGTGCTTGGAACTTTCAAAATCTTTGACAGTTATGTCATCTTGTAAGAGAGTTTAAGATGTATATTTCAGTTGATCCAAAGTTTATTGCAGAGTATACACCTCATTCTTTGTTTCTACATAAAAGAAAAAGATGTGTCTGAGACTCTTGATGACTGCAATCCCAGAGTTTTCTTGGTAAGGGTTTGCAATTACTTTAAAATTTCCCAGTCCAGCCAACAGCCTTAGAATCTCCAGGTAATTCTTTTACCCAAATATTAATCAGACAAAAACCTGCTCAGCTTCTCAGTTTAGCCAGGGTCAGCAAGGTATTGTCCTTTTCTAAGGTACATATTAACTATTAATGAAAGTTGACTTGTGTCTGTGCTCCAAGCAAGTATTGGATCAAATGTAATTTTACGATTTCTTAAAGTTTCTTAGAGTTGCAATGGCATGGTTTTGGATTGCCTAAAACTTTAATGGGTTGCAAACTGCCAGTTCATTCAAAATGATACATCTATGGATACTTTAAAAAGTCTTAATGATTATATCTTTAAATAGGGAAATCCAGGGTGAATTTGTATATGCTTATTCTGCTGTTCATACCACTGAATTCAATACTTGTAGCTAACTTTGGCTCTTTTGCCATCTACTAAATACATCTTCCAGTTATTTCTAAATGTGTATCAAAGCTGACTCTCTGAATGGCTAGGTTGACACAATGTACTAAGTCACATTTTGTTTTTAACCTTTTAAAGTTAGGCCTAGTAATCCTGTTTACACAACGTTTATCTTTACAAGCTAATTCACAAATCCCAGCAATTGGTTTTACACATTGTGCTAAGCTAAAATCACACTAAATAAATTAGAGATTAGTATGCTATACAAACCTCTACAAGGAGAGATTTTGAGAACACTCAGTGACGATAGATTGTTTGGAGATGTAGAATTTCCAAGCCTACTTACCAGCTACATTTGTAACAATTGTTTTCAGTGTGCCAAATGAAACAGTAAGGTTATTTTCTATGTGAGAGTTCTTCTTTTTGATAACATTGGGTGGTGATAAACAAAAACATTGTTAAAAAAAACCCCAACTCTATCTTTTTAGCCCTGTAATATTGTTCGTTCTTCTCTGAAAAGTAGCCTGAGTAACCTTTGGCTGATAGTAGCCAACTAAACAATGGAATTCAAGAGATTAAATCTATTCACTTTACCCCAAACTTTGCATCTGCAGACATTACCATTGGAGGCACTTAGTTTTAATTGGTGCTCCCTTCAGGTTGTTTCCAACCTGGTTAACTATCCTTTGGTCACAATTCTGTGCAGACTTAATTGAAAGGACCACCAAAGGAAGAATTATGGTATTATTCTCTTCGCCTCCTCTCCAGCTCACTAGAGTATATTAAACAAACATCAAGCCACTTCCTCAGCTTGGTGCCTCTTCAGCTTCAGTAGTTGGGTGAATTCCCAAGGTTCACTTCACCCTTTCTGAAACCATCCAGTGGACCAACAGCTGTAGCTTACCTTATGTATGCCATCCTGGGAAACAGGTTTAAGTTATTATCCTAAACAAGGGATCTCTAATGGGAGGAGGTCGAAATCAATTTTGCCAGATACTCTGATCTTTCCACGGCAGTGCGAGGCGATTGTTCAGTTTATGGTAAGTAAACTCAGAAGAAATGGGCTAAAGCTTTTTTTTTTTAAAGCGGGTAATAAAATTATAAAATAGCAACGGCATCGCATCTTTTTTATTTCGGCTCCCCTTTCAGTCACTACCACTGAACGCTTGTGTGGCGAGACACAAGCAGGCTGCTAAAATAATGGCTTCAGCGTACACCCACCAAGGATACAGTTACATAAACAAATAGGCGGATCAAAACACCCATTTCTTTTCCAAATGGTTCGGTGCGGCTGCTACAACGTTTTGCCTTGAAAAGATATTGCAGAAAAGCATGTCTGCGCCTTCTCTCATTCCCAGCCTGGGGTTTTTGTTTTGCTTTTCTCTGTGCAAAGCGGTCGGGAACGACCTGCGATTCTTACTCCCTTCTCTATGGAGATTTAGCTAACACACAAGATGGACGGAGCAGGCAAAGCCACTCGAAGCAATGCTTCACCGCCTAGCCAGGGAAAAAAAAAAAAAAGCTTCGGCGCCCGCTCTCACGCAACGAGACAAGGCTGAGAGAAAAGGCGGGGCTCGCTAACTGCTCCCGTCGCCCCATTGGCTCGCCTTTAATCATTTTGCATGTCTCGGAGCCTTCTTTTATGCGCTCGGCTTTGCCACGTGATCGGAGAGGTGGTTGGGACTTCCTGTTTGAGGTCAGGGAGGGGAGGGAGAGGGATTCTCGCCTCTCTCTCTCTCTCCCTTCCTCTCTCTCCCTTCCTCTCTCTCTCTCTTTCTCCTTCGCTCCTTGCTCCCTCCCCCTCGCCCCGTTGTGGTCTCGCGCTGGCTGCCTGCCGGAGCTCTTGTCAGTTAGTAACAAAATGGCTGCGGTGGCAGCAGCTCTGCTCCTGAAGCGGAGGACACAAGCGGCGGAGGCGACGGCGGCTGTTGCTGCTGCTGCTGCTACTACTACTGCAAGGAGGAGTGGAGGGCCGGGTCGGCGGCATCACTGAACCCAGCGGCGTTGCTTGTCCTGCCAGCGGCCCAACCCCTTTTCCCTTACAAGCGAAAAGCTCGGTCCGAGAAGCCGTCCCTGCGGCTGCTGCCTCCATAAATCCCTCTGGTTCCCCCAGAGAATCTCTCGTCAATCGCTGGGGAGGGACAGGAGAGCGAGCGGCTGCTGCTGCTGCTGCTGCTGTGGATTCTGCTCTTGACTGGGTGGATCCCGCGGGGGAGAGGAAACGACTGACGGACCTCCTTGCGAGAAACTCAGTTGCGGGATCGCCCCGGGTTTTGCGGATCCTGTCTTTGTGAGAAAGAGACTGGATTTTGCCTTCTTCTCTGGATCCACCTATGTTTGGCTTGTCTGGGTGGATCCGTATGAAAGACAGTGGTGGGCTCCCTACTCACCACGAAGCCTATTTTCTGGATCCTTTTTAGGATTCCGGTACATGAGAGAGACTGCTGGAGCTCCTTTCCTTGGATCCACGTATGAAAAGCACTGCTGGTGGATTTCCCTGGCATTTGTGGATCCTTGCCTGGATTCTTCTCTCCCTTGGATCTTCCTGAAAGAAACTGTTAAGACCTTTTTTTTTCTGCTTGTGTTCTACGTCTCGCTTTCCTTTAAAAAAAAAAAAGACTTAACTGGGTACTTGGATCTCTGTCTCAGAGTCTTCTGGCTGTTTTTTGTTTTTCTGACCTAATCTTTAAACTTTTGAATGGGTTCGATATTATCCATTTTAATTTGCACTTTTGAAAACAAAATATTCAAATGCTCCTCCGTGTAAACTGAGAATCTACCAACACCTTTTTAAAAGCCGTATCCTGAACAACTACAAAGCATACAGATTTCACGCTCATCCTGACGGTATATTTTTGCTGCAACCATCTATGTTTAATTTTAAAAACAAAATTCTCTGTGCAGAGTTTAACTGAGAACTCATAATTGTGAGTTTTGCTTCATTGAAGAAAAGAATAATTCTTGTTTTGGAATTGGACCTGCTTCTGCTGCACTTATCTTCTGGGCTGGAAATAAAACTGGAGCATACAGCTCTTTTACTGTTGGTTTCTTGTCTGATTTTCCCAACCCCCTTCCTCCTCTTTTGTGGCAGAATATTTTTGGTGGTTTTTGTTTTTCGTTTTAATTTGGAACAAGCATAGATATTGAAAAAAAAAAAACTGACTTTGGCCGTGAGAGATTTTTTTCATATTCAACGTGAAAAATACGGGTATTTTTTGTAAGAAAAAGCATTAAAAGAAAGGAGCACGGTAGTGAAACTCCCAGGCGCCGGACAAAATATTCATTTGTTCTTTTTCAAGGAGACCGAGTCGAAAGCTGCCAAAGAGCCCCAGAAGGAAACGAAGCAAGGTAAGAGAAGGACCATTCACATTTTTAATGTGGAGGCAGAAAAGTTAGATGGAAAAAGACCTCTTACGAAGTTAAGTGCCTGCAGTTCCCTATGAAGTAGCTCTTGATCCAGGACTATACTAACTGTAATCTGTTTTTTAATCATGTAACTATTAAAATGAAAAATTAACAAATCTCCCACTCAAGCTAATGTATTCACAAGCTAAACATATCCCCAATTGACAGCTTCAGATGCTTTAAAAACTTCAATATTTCTCACATTCCTTGTTGCTACTGAAAACTCCAAATGCCTCATTTATTAAAAAAGATGGAAGAAAATGGAAATAATGAGAAATGATTTCTTGAATTATTAGGGTTTGCATGCTGTTGTCATGTGGTGTGCTGTTTGGAAAATAGTGACAATTAATCTTGGCAATTTCAGTGTATTGCTACACTAGAGAAGCTGATTGAATGTAACCAAGTGGTCAAACCTTGAACTTCATCTATGATTAGTTGGGCATTTAAATAATGATAGGTGCAATTCTGTATAGACTTATTTGAATTAAGTTCCATTGTGTTTAGTGGGACTTACCAATTGGTAATGTGCAAAGGATTGCTGTCCCCCTTCCCAAGTAGTTTTTCTGATGTCTCCATTTCTTTGCTGAAGTATTCTTAATGCTAGATTCCCCCCCCCCCCCTTTTCATGGTATTTTTCATTCAATGTAACATGATTAAGAATAAACACAGGGATAGAATGACAATTTGCATATAATTTACTATGGAATTTTGCTGAAAGTGTACCCAAATTCCTTAGGTTATTTAGATAAAAAACTGGGCTGTCTAGAAACATAGTTGATGCATAGAAGAGTATTATACTTTTAATATTATAAAGGTGACTAAGGCTGATTTAAAATTATTAATGATTTTGTCATTTTATAAACAATGCTAAAGAATGCTTCGATTACTTAAAAGTCTGCATGTGGAACAGTAAACAAAATAACATCTCTGTAGTACTCTAAACAAATGTTTTTTTATATCGGTAGATTCCTAACATATAAACCTAGATTGTGAGAAATACCTACATATGAAATAAAGCATCTATAATAATTATTGAAATGCTTTTTAAATCCGATAATTTGTTTCATTATTTCTGCATAATTGAGGTTTTGCTGTTTTGTCCATATAGTATAATTATTTTCATCAGAAATTAGAAAAATGAACAGTTTTACACAGGAAAAATTCAAGACTTAATATAACTTGTTATAGGAATTTCTGATTATCATCCGATTTGAGGGTCTCTTTAGGTTCTGTTTCAACTGTATATTCTCAACTTTGATCTAAAATGCCTCAGAAATATTTAAATTTCATTCATGTTGTTTTATTGCTATTATTATCTTTTAAATTTTAGATTTAAATTTTCTACACAAGGGTATTAGTAACCCTTCAATTAACAAAATATTTTATCATAAGTAACTTTTGAAAAAAGGATATTGTCTTTTTAAAATTAAAGTATTTTATTTCTTTCCAATGTAATTATAGTTATTGATACATTTTGGTTAACTTTTTAGCATATTTGTAACATAACATGCTTTCCATTTTTAATTACTGTGTTAAGTAAACTATGAACAAAATACAAGATTTCTAGTTTTGAAATGATTCTGTTGCAATCTTAATTTTAATGCAAATAAATTTTTACTGATCAAAAATTAAATGGACTTAATGATAGGGTTTGAATGTAGCCCTTTTAATGCAATATAGAGGACAGAAATGCATTATGCTTTCCCTTATTGATTTTTCATGTTTCCTGAAAAAAATTGTCAAGCTGAGAGTGACTGACCAGAGCAAAAAATAGTGGGTTTATAATAGATATAACTCAATGAACATGTCAATACAGTGCGCAGCAGCTGTGAAAAAAATGTGAATTCCATGCTGGAGATCATTACAAAGGAGCCACAAATACTATTCTGTAATGTTTTAATGCAAATATATGATGTGACCATATTTGAAATACTATATATGCAGCCAACAACTGTACACTAAAAAGCATTTTATCAAGCAGAACATGGTAACCATTATTAGACAATTCCATAATTTTCATATGTAAATTATTGTTTAGTGCTTTTTAATTGAGAAAATGCAAAGTAACTGGGCAAAATAGCAGTATATAAACTGTACATGGTATACAAAGAAATTGAAGTTTTTCTTTTTCAAAATACAAGAATCAAAGGTTGTCAAATGTGTTGAATGGTGAAAATGCTTCTTCACACATATAGATTCTGAAACATGGTATCACAACATGCAGCTATAACCAGCAACTTTGATAATTTTAAAAGGGCTTATATACTTTCATCCAGAAGAAAATTGCTAGTAAATGAGGCTATATACTATCTTTAGGATCAGAGATAGCAAGCTTTATCAGTTACTGAGAAACATCAGCAGAGGAAGATGTTGTTCCTTTTTTGTGGGATTTCCATAAACATTTTGTTGGCCATTATAGAAATAAATATTGGACTAAGTAGGCCGATGGTTTGATTCACTTAGGTTCTGGTGTCAACAAGCAGTCTGCAAAGCACTTTAAAACAATTAAAATGTCCCAAATGTAAGTTATCCTCACAATATGAATGAATGTTGGAGGTCCGATATTGATAAAAAATACGATGTCAATGCTAGTCTCTTTATCAGCTAAGCAGGCACAGATTCATGAAGGGTATTTGTATTCTTAAATCATAAGCTCTAAAACTGTATATACTATTTCTCTTGTGATTCAGTAGTCATGCCTTTGTAAAATTCATCACAGTTCTTGAATAGATAAGCTGATAAAAGAAAAGTGAATAATGCATACCTTATGGTGAGAAATCCTACTTTGAACCTCACACTTTTATAAATATGTACTAATAAGATAAATATTCTATATTTTGAAATTCTGTCCTTGTAACAGATTTTTTATTGGGTGAAAGAGATCCTTTCACATAATAATCACTATTATCCCCATTGAAAGCAGTAACTTAATCTTTAATCTGCAATTGTAGCTAATGTACCATTTTGCAACAGTGATTAACATTGTTGGGCAGACAAATAGTAAGGTATTAGTTAAACTTTTGGACTATTTTTGCTTATTTAAATCTTACATCAGTATTCAGTATATCATAAATTGAAGGATCACATGGTAAGTATTGGAGTATCATGTCTAACAACAGGTTTTTTGGGTGTGTCTTTGGATGTGTTTCAGAGATTCAGTATTTCAGCCAGGTGTGAAAAAGGGCAAAAAGGAATA